TGGATTTCAAGTTGTACGATAGACATGGCCAATAAGACACCTTTTTTTGGGGTGCCTAGTTAACCATGTTCTTATTGCACTTGTATTCATGGCGAGGCGCAGACGCCGTCTGGAGGTGACAGGTTTAATTCTCGGCAAGGTAACTATAGCTTTCGATTTTTATGTTGTCTAGTGTGTTCTTCTGTCTTTCTACTTCTTTCTATGAGTGCCGATCAATACACCTACAATATCTAGATTGTTATGCATCATTTCACCACCAAGTGATGCAAAACCAGCCAGTCTATCTGCCTGTTAAAACCTGTTCAATTTATAATCAGTCCACCAGTTGATTTGTGAGCTTTTTAGTATCACTGAAATATATCACAAAGATGGTTCCAACAATTTATATAACAGTTCGTTTCACATCTATCCTCTCATATATATATATATATATTATATATATATAATATATATATATATATATATATATATATATATAGAGTATTATATATATATAACATATATATATATGCACACAATCACGCACAGCTGTAAACATCAATAATCACAATCATAAGATACATATAAAAATTAATATAAACATTATATTTAAAATCATAATATATACACACATACATATATCTGTAACATTCATAATCATAATATATACATACACAGATGTAACATCCATAATTATAATATATACATACACAGCAGTAACATCTATAATCATAGAATATTTATACACAGCTGTAACATCTATAATGGCATAACGTGTACGTCAGTGGTATAAATAAAATATTTGTATATAGTTAGATAAAAGTTGCTGTATATATATGTCGTTATTTTTGGCCAGCTATATAAATAAAAGTTATACGTTGTGTGCATATACAGTTGGTTCCTTCAGCTATAGGACTACATAAGTTGTGTGCCTAGTTTATTTATACATGCTATACATACATACTCAATGCTGGACATACATACATCACCTACTATATTTTCATTACATAGTACTATACATACATACCTATAATTACATACACATATACATACATTACAATATATACATACATAATCATACATACATACATAGATGTAACATACGTAAAAATCACATACATCTGTACATACATGATATATACATACAGCTACATATGCATATGACATATATTTACAATTATAAACATCAAAAACAAAGAAGAAGAAGAATATTATGTAAGTTAGTAGTAGTGGAGTAGTAGTAGTTGTAGTAGTATGTTGTGGTAGTAGTAGTAGTAATAGTAGTTATGTGTAGTATTGGTGGTGGTGGTAGTATTAGTAGTAGTAGTGGTGGTATATTAGTGGTGGTAGTATTAGTAGTAAGTAGTAGTATAGTGGTGGTGGTAGTATAGTAGTAGTAGTATAGTAGTGGTATTAGTTAGTAATGGTGGTGTAGTAGTAGTACTAGTAGTATGTAGTAGTAGTAGTAGTAGTAGTAGTAGTAGTGGTGGTAGTATTAGTATATAGTATTAGTAGTAGTAGTAGTGGGTGGTGGTTAGTAGTATTAGTGTTTAGGATAGTATAGTGGTGGTGGTGGTAGTATTAGTAGATAAGTAGTAGTAGTGGTGGTGTAAGTATTAGTAGTATTAGTAGTCGTATTGGTGGTGGTAGTATTAGTAGTAGTAGTTGTAGTAGTCTGAGTAGTAATAGTAGTGGATATTATTATTCGTAGTGGTGGTGGTGGTGGTAGTCATAGTCGTAGTAATTAGTAGTCGTGACAGTAATAGTAGTAGTAGTAGTAGTAGTAGTAATGGTGGTGGTAGTAAAAGTAGTAGTAATTAGTAGTCGTGATAGTAATAGTAGTAGTAGTTTACAAAGTAGACGGCTAGTGTTTTCTGAAAGAAAAACGTAGCCTTTAAATCTAAAAGTTTGGCTCCCACTGATGTACACACACAGGAAAATCAGAATATATACATTAAAAAATGCACACAGATTAGACTTTTTATATATACATTTTACATCACCAAATATAGAAACAGCGGTGCCAAACCTGGAGACAGGCACGCTCCCATTTTTCTCGTGTTTTCTTTGTGTCTGCACCCTGTATGGATAGATGTTGTGAAATGTTCTAACTCGTTTATGATATAAACATACGGTGTGGGTGCATCGATGACTCGTCTTTAGCTGACAGATAGCGTACAAAACATGATGACATCATAATCCAGATTTTCCTGTCTCTACACGCCAGGCAGCGACAAGTTCAAGGTCTTCAGAATCGGACATAACATTCTAGACAAACATCAAAGCAGTGACGCTCGTAAAGAACTTCACATTCTCATTTGTCACGATGATGTATATATGTTTTTAGGAATGTCTCTACTTGTTATTTATTATATTATTATTGGTTAAAGATGATGTCGGTTTAAGACATATTGCAGATGGAAATATCGTATTTGTGTCACAATCTAAGCAAACAGCGGAAGTTGTGTTCTGGTCTGTAGCTACACAAGGTTTTTTGGAATCGATACCTAATTACATTCTTGGATTCCGTACAAAATGTCTGTAACTGTGCCTTTATTTGGAAGTAATCATCTATGTTTGTTCTCTTCCCCCTTCCAATCTCATTGCCTGTCTACCTGTCCGTCCTAACGTTTTTATATCCTCACGCGGGAAATTAAGAAAAAGCTTTTTGTGTACCTTTACAATTATCAATAATTGTCTCAAAGGCAACACTTTATGTCTGTTGTGATGTGATTCTTCCAATCAGTGTCGCTCGTCTGCATGTGAATAGAATGCTAATTTGAAGTTGTGTGGCAAAATACGGGTAGGAATATGACGAACAATGTCTCTGTCTTGTTACACCAAGATCAAAATTTACAGAATAAAGATAAGACCCGTTGTTTTATATGGATCTGAAACTTGGCGCAAACTATAAGAGACGAAGCCTTATTACATATATTTGTAAGCCGTGTGTTACGGCGAATATTTGAACCCATCAAAGAGGCAAACATCGGCCAATGAAGAATTAGAATTAACAACGAAATTAAACAAAATCTGTTTGAATCACCATTGATGACTGGTATCATGAGGGTTAATAGACTGAAATGGCTGGAGCATATTGAGAGAATGTCAAATGACAGAGGTAAAAACTGTATACACAAGGGGGCTGAATGGTCGTAAACCACGAGGCAGACCAAGAAGACGATGGATAAATATTATACAGACAGAGTCAAGTTCTTTCAAGATATCTTTATAATTCTTTTTATATGCCTTCTTCTTTTCTTAATCTTCTTCTTCTACTACCCTACTGTTGCTGCTGCTTCTACTACTATTACTACTACTACTACTACTACTACTACTACTACTACTACTACTACTACTACTATTACTACTACTACTACTACTACTACTACTACTACTACTACTACTACTACTACTACTACTACTACTATTACTACTACTACTACTACTACTACTACTACTACTACTACTACTACTACTACTACTCTACTACTACTACTACTACTACTACTACTACTACTACTACTACTACTACTACTTCTTCTTTCCATTCTTCTTCTTTTTGTAGCCTCTTCCTGTACTTCCTTATAGTTTATCTTCCTCCCTATCCCCTCCCCCTTCCCTGTCCGATTCTCTGCTTCACCCAAAAGACCAGTCAGTCGCGTGATATCGTTAGATGTCAACTTCTGCATGATTTATACCAGGTTCACTTCTACGAGACAGATTCCACTCAACACATTCGTCGTAACCTAAATGTCTATAGCTTTCCCTCCTCAATGTCTTTCCGCCTCGAATTTCAAGAATTGTTTTTTTTTTTTTTTAAATTTTTTATAACAGTGAACGGACTTTTCGATTTCCAACAGCTGTGTGATTTTATTTTAATTCGTTTAACTTGCATACCGCTTGCCTGCCCGTCCAGTAGTAATTGATTCAAATCCACAATCGAGGCAAATTGTAAAAATTGATCCGTATTTCCAGACTGATCCAGCCAATATTGGATGTCAGGAAACGCCAGAGAAGTAAATCTACCCTGTCTATATTATCACTTGAGTGCCCATTGATCTATCAAACATATGCACAATAGGCTTCCATTATTTCTCCCTAATCAACAGTTGTTACCGATTCCCTATGAGGTATGCCGGTTTGAAAAGCAGGAAATGATTTGTCGAAATAAAAATACTAGTGCCAGGAATACTAACCCGGACACCCAATGTCTACAAAAGTCGGTCGTGTGGACTGAAAGGTGCAAATATCGCAGCCATGTTGTAAACGGGCTCCACCCATTTACGTCTTCGGACGAATGCAGAATAAAAGCACAAGAAGCAGCAGCAGAAGAAGATGAAGAAGAAGAAGGAGAAGAAGGAGGAGGAGAAGAAGAAGATGATGATGATGAGGATGAAGAAGAAGAAGAAGAAGAGAAGAATGACGAAAGAAGAAAAGAAGAAGAAGAAGAAGAGAAGAAGAAGACAAAGAAGAAGAAGAAGAAGAAGAAGAAGAAGAAGAAATAAGATAGAAGAAGAAGAAGAGAAGAAGAAGAAGATGATAATAATAATAAATAATAATAATACTTAATAATAATAATAATAATAATAATAATAGAAGAAGAAGAAGAAAAGAAGAAGAAGAAGAGAAGAAGAAAAGGAAGAAGAAGACGAAACAGAAGAAAAAGAAGAAGAAGAAGAAGAAGAAAAAAGAAGAGAAGAAGAAGAAGAAGATAGAATAAAGAAGATAGAAAGAAGAAGAAGAATAAGAAAGAAGAAGAAAGAAACAGAAACAGAAGAATAAGAAGAAAGAAGAAGAAGAAGAAAAAGAAGAAGAAGAAGAAGAAGAAGAAGTAAGAGAGAGAAGAAGAAGAAGAAGGAAGAAAGAAGAAGAAGAAGAAGAAGAAGAAGAAGAAGAAGAAAAAGAAGAAGAAAAGAACAGAAGAAATAGAAAGAGAAAAAAAGAAGAAAAAAAAAGTAAGAAAAGAAGAAGAAAAAGAAGAGAAGAAGAAAAATAAGAAGAAGAATAAGAAGAGGTGTTCACAACCCTGTTTCTTCGTCTGCAGAAGATGACTTTGAAACGAGTAGACTCTGGCTGTCACTGTAAGACGAGGAGAAGGCATCTGGTTCACATTGTCGGTATGCCTTGGAGTGATTGACTAAACTATAGCCCGATGCCGAGCTCACTGAAGTTGGCAACGCTTGTAATGGAGTCTTCTCGCTGGCTTTCACATTTTTCTCATTTTTGCTGTCTTCTAAGAGCTCGTCATCGTCGGGGAAGTAATCCTCGTCGTTCTCGTCTTCGCTGTTGTCAACGCTGACATCCATGTGGCTGTCGTAGCTAGGGTTGATGCGGCCATGCAAGCATACCTGACCATCTGCTGCTGTGTTCAGCTGGCTTTTTGAACTGAGACCTGTCTCCACGTTGTCTGCGCTAATGTGGACTGCTGTAATAAAACAAGTTCAGCATCAAGTGTGAGCGTGTAGTGTAAACAGCAGTGGAATAATCAGGTAGGATTGTTATTTTATTTCTTAGAAACACGCAGGCGGGAAGTGACGAGGGGTCCTGGCAGATGCTCGAGACTCAGAGGAAAGGCAAGACGGACGTTTAATCGGAAGGCTAATGGCATTATTAGTATCGGAACTCTTCATTGGCTGCTGAAGATGGGGACGGAGCTCTAACGGGAATGCATTGAGTGATGTGATGCTGGTTCTTGAAACACCCAACTCCACTTAAAAACGCACAGGAAGACAAGGGAAAAGAAAAAAGTGGGTGGGTGGGGGCGGAGAGAGAGAGAGAGAGAGAGAGAGAGAGAGAGAGAGAGAGAGAGAGAGAGAGAGAGAGAGAGAGAAGATAAACAACAAATAAATCTTGTGGTTAGAGTGCCCTAATCAGAGAGACATAGAGACAGGTAGAGAGAAAGGATATTTAGACACATTATGAATCTATGTATGTGCAGTTTTGTAAGTGAGATATAGAAAGAATATTGTCAGAGAGTAGAAGAGGACAGAGAGACAGACAGAAAGATATATAGAGACATAAGAGTCTCTGTGTGCGTGCGTTTTTTGTAAATGAGAGAGAGGAGAGAGGGGGATGCAGAGACAGAGACACTATTAAAGATAATAGTGAGAGAGACAGAGGGAAGGAGGGAGAGACTGATCTGCTCTGATTGTTGTCGAAGTCTAAAAGATTCCAGTTTAATTCTAAGTATATGCATAGACTTTAAGGTTGTTTTATTCATTTGTATCTGATTAAGTAAGAGCGCTTGTTAAAGATGATGTGTATGAAAAGGAGGAGTCAGGGGCATGCAAGAGGAGCACAAACTTCTGAAAATGGACAGAAAACATCCAGGGTTAAATGGTAGAAACATGTATACGTAAACCGTGAACACAAATGACAGAAGGCTTCGGAGACTCTGCAGTCGACAGCTGAGAGAAAGATAACACTCAATGATGGTAAGAAATGCGTGCATTGAAACCTGTAGACTTATGTGAAACAAATCAGTCAAATAATATCACAACAGGCATATAAAGAGTTGCTTCCACTGTTGTTACTGGTTTAAAAGAATTTGGGCTGTAAAAAATGTAAAAAAAAAAAAGTGAAATAAAATTCAAACATTAATGCAAACATCTCTATGAAATCAAGTGCAATTCTCTTGTCAAAAGGACACAACAGTATTGGATTCGTGTTCAATATCTCACCCGTAACACTAGATTTGTTGCCAAAGATGGTGCGTGTGCATATCTTCCACCAGACATTCGAAGGTCACTATCAGCTGTATTTTGTGCCAGTATTTACCACTTCTTACGGTGGTGTAATACATACAGAACAAAAACGGGAGTGGGAAAAAAAGGGGGGGGGGGGGTTGTTTGTTGTTGTTATTGTGCAAGTGAGCAGAAACTGTACAGTATTTTATTTTGGCTCCCGATAGAATTTCTGATTCAGAAATCGACATCATAGCACATTGAGCATACCCATAGATGTCCAATAGTAAATGTCTTGAGGTTTAGACGGAAAAACCCGTTCGCCTAAAAACCCAACTGTCCCTGTAGCAGCACACGTCCTTATCTTCCTCGCATATGTCCTTCCATACCGGGTCCACCCCTAGTTTTTCCTTCACACATTCTTACGCATATTATTTCATCTAACCTCGAGTCTTCTATCAGAATTCCTTAATAAATGGTTTTCACAATGTCTTCTTTATCCAGTACGAGAGTTCGCATAGTTATCGCCACCAAAACCGCTCTTTCTTTCCCTCGCACTCCTGCATAGCCCTGACAGTGTATACATATGAGCTCCTGTAATGGTGACGTGCCACAGCCCAAAAACATGCTGGGGGTTGGTTCTGCAGCGCCCTGTAAAGAATGCGCATCTACCTTTAACATGTCACACTGGGAATGGCGAGACGGATATACAATCAGACAGTTACTGGTTCCATCGAAATTAGAACTCTCCGTTTGCTGCTGAAGATGGGGACGGAGCGCTGATGTGAGTGTGCCGAGTGCTATGATGTCGATTCTTATTTCAACATTCAACGTTCACACAGTGATTTCCTAAGACAATATGGCAGACTCGTCACACATCGAACATTCGCTGGGGACCACTGTATGAGGTCTATTATGTTCAAAATAAATAAACCGCTAGTTATTCGACTACAAAAGATAAAGAAGGTTGTCCTAATGGACACACAAAATATTTGTAATTTAATGAGTGAAATTGTAAAAATTGTACACAGGAATCCTTAGGTTCAACCAGTCAATTGACATTATTTTACATCTGGGTCATCGAAAGCTTTTAGGCGTGCGGGGTTTCCAGTCAGCTAATAAAAACGCGCCATCGGATAGCTATGGAGAGTCGCCGTGGCGTTGGCGGCTAGACGCCCGCCTGCGGATCGAAAGATCGTGGGTTTGCGTCCTGAACTTTTTTTCAAAAATGACCTTGACTCCAAGGTCGACCCAGGCTTGAGTGGGCACCAGGTGCAGTCCTGGAAAGTGAAGGAGACCGGCGTAATGCTGACCACATCATCCACCAAGCACCGATTGGTCTATACAAATACAGATCTAGCCCTATATTCCCAATACGCTTAAGGCGTAGAAAAAGACCTTTTTATTTTATCAGATAGCTATGTTTCATTTTTTTTAAACGGTATCACTTTCGTGACTTCTAACATTCTGCCAAGCATGTGAAAATAGCTTACCTCGGAAACTCGAAGATCTCCGAGTTCTTCTCTTGCAACACTTCTCCATGACAGCCTTGTAGCCTATTCTGTACCTGGCCAGAGCCAGGCTGTACAGCAGCGGGTTCAGGAGGCCAGGGAGCGAGGTGGCGATGTTGGAATACATGAGGGTGGCTTCACTCACTTGCACTCCGGCTTTCTGGAGAGTCAGCATCAACTGCCGAGGTCATAGACAAGTTAGAGTCATTTCTATGATAGATAACAGACAGTTAAGTGTTCGGGTAATTTCATTATAATGTGTCTGGAGATAGGACGATCATCTTAATTTATTTCTAATTGTATCCCATTTGGCTCGATCTCTCTCCACATAGTGCGAACCCCCCCCCCCCCTCCCCATAGCACACATATACATACACACAGAAATACAGGGAAAGAGAGAGGAGGGGGTCAGAGAGATAGAGATGAGAGGAGTGAGAAAGAAAGAGAAATATAAGAGACAGACAGAGAGAGAGAGAGAGAGAGAGAGAGAGAGAGAGAGAGAGAGAGAGGAGAGGAAAAAAGAAGGGGGCGGAGGGAGGAAATCGTAGAAAGTAAGGCATCTCTCGTTCCCTATTCCCCTTCTGACGCAGGATATATCCGCAGAAGAACAAAATGGCGGGGTTTCGCAGTAAAACGGAGGGACAAAAAGGGAAAGGGGAAAAATAGATACACTGAATAAAACGAAAATGCATGGGCTTGCAAATATGTGATTTTGAAAGTATATATTCTGGTCTATACTGTATTCTGATGACTAGTAGGTTTGTTTACAAATTACTGCCATGTGTGTATCTAATAATTTCAAGTAGATAAATGATATATCTCGAAGCCTTGACATCAAACTGTCCAGCCTTTTTTATTAACTGTTAATAGAATGATGCGTTAGAACAGACTGACGTCATTCCACACTGGGCATTCCTTTACATGCTCAGTTCTTTGAATACGTAAAAAAAAATCCCTTGGCAGTTTGAAATCGAAAAGAGTAGCCTATCGGATCCTCGCTTGTGCTATGGAGCATTGCACTAAGCTTCTTCGGACTCAGACTTGAAGTCAAGCTAGAAGTAGAACAGAGCACTTATGGGTAACTTTCCGTGTGCCATGATGTTGATCCGTTGTTCAAACCTCAAAGATCAAAGAAATTTGCCGCTTTGAGAAATGGGTAGCACCCGTCAAATCGTAAATTATAAAATCATAAAGACGGGGGAAATCTAAGACCACAGGCAAAAATTAGTGTTGTTCTGTACAGGAGTTTTCGAGATATTTGTTAACTTAGAGACACTAGTTTTGGAACGGACTGTAGCTGTGCGGACCTAAAACATCAGGCTTAAACCTGCCTACACCGAAAAAGTGGCAAATACATGCTGCAGTCTCAGAGATCCCCTTTCACGCCTTTGGCGCATCCGGCTTATGGGAAAAACACCCCATATTTTTACACACCAATCGGCACTATTTGGGAAATGAGGTCAGCATTTTGCCGGCAGTCTTTACTTTTAGAGAACATCTATCCTGGTACCCATTTTAGGCCATACCTTGATAAATATCCACACAGCCAGCAGTTTTTTTATGAGTCGGACTCGCAACGCCTAAGCCACGGACGCCGCCTTTTGTACCCCACCAGGACATCACACAAGCGATGAACACCCGGTGACACAAAATGCCACCATGCGGATGAGGATCACCCGTGGAAAGGTCCTGGAAACCCCTTTCAGCCATTATGCCAAATTTATGGCCCGGCTATATTAAGGGTTTCCCGGCAAAAGCCTGGAAGATACATACTAAAAGAAGAACATAGTATGCGTTGCACAAGAAAACAAAGAATGTTACGGCATGGTCCGAACTGGCAGAGGTTTGCATTTGAGATAGAGGACGGAAGGAGAAACACCATAAACTAATAATTACAAAACAAAAAAGCGTACACTAGCTTTAAATTTACCAACCACGATTGGGACCCAAGTGAGCAGTCCTGCAACCACCACACAAGTGAGGCTGTAGTGTCTCTTCATGCTGTCCAGCCTGGATAGTTCAGCCAGATCTGGAACATTCTCTTCCTCGTGGTACAGCCTGGACTTCCGCTTCCGCTCTTGCTTTATCCGTTTACCGACCTGTAAGTATATGTTGTTTAACACACATACACACATACATACACACATACATACACACACACATACATACACACATACATACATACATACATACATACATACATACAACATACATACATACATACATACATACATACATACATACATACATACATACACATACATACATACATACATACATACATACATACATACATACATACATACATACAAACATACATACATCACAAACATACATACATACATACATAACATACAATACATACTATAAATACATACATACATACATACATACATACATACACTACATACATACATACATACATACATACATACATACATACATACATACATACATACATACATACATACATACACACACACACACAGACAGACAGACAGACAGACCGACCGACCGACCGACCGACCGACAGACAGACAGACAGACAGACAGACAGACAGACAGACAGACAGATACACAGATACACCCACAGAAACACACGCACACAGACATACACAAACATACACACACATGCAGACACATAGACACCCTCCCCCTCCGCAGACACACGCAGACACATACGCAAACACACACATAGACACCTACAAATAGACACACACAAACTCACAGACACCCGACAGACACACACATAGACACATGCAGACGCATAGACGCACAAACACACGCAGACACACACGTACACACAAACTAACACACAGACACACATACGTAGACACACACCCACAGATACACATGCTTAAATATATGCACACACACATATACAAACAAACAAATACACACACAGACAAACAGCCACAGTCACACTCGCTGTCACACACCTGCAGGCACACAAGCAGACACACACACGCAAACACACAGAGAATATACACAGAGACATATACTCAGAGACACACACAGACATATAAACAGAGATACACACATACACACCCACACATACACACACAGAAGACACTCACGCACACACACACAAATACAAAGACTCGCACAGACACATACAGACACACAAACACACATACACAACAAAGCGCGCACACACGAAAACAAACACAAAAACAGATACACACACATACACACACGTAGACGCACACATACACATACATACAAACACACCCACACAGAGATACATTCACACACACCCACAGACACACATACAGTCACACGCACACGTGGACACACAGGCAGACACACACACGCAACAACTTATATAATTACCCATGCACACACTCATACATTCACAAACAAGCTTACTCATACACACATACCACTGTCTTCTCCAGATCGCTGGCTGTAAACTCTGGCAGAAACTTCTGGTTGTTCATCTACTTCTGGACTTAAGTCCTATTCCAGACACTGTTTGTTGTATACACATATGTTATACGTATTTGACAGTCTGTATGCAGACTGCTGTCTTTTGCCTCTCAGGCAAACATTTTCCAACTTCGAAGGAAGCTACAATGTGTCAACTCTTACTACATGCTAGCTGAGGAGTCTTTTCCTTTTCTTTCCTTTTTTTTTTTTTCAACAACGAGACCCGGTATCTACATGGGGAATTTTTGTTTTAACGTGCTTCTTTTACCATTTAAAATAAAATGCCATTCATATTACTTATAAGCGTTGTTGCATGCATTATTCAGGAATGTGCGATATATTTAAACAGTTACCACATAATTCACTGATGAACTGATTTCATCCAACAAGATGAAACTGAAAAAAATTTGTTTGTGCTGTTTGTACCTTGAGGATAAATATTCGGTAGTGCTATATAGTACTGTTAAGAAAGCTGCTCTGGGCGAAAAATTATTGCACATATTAATTTCATCATATTGACTGCATAAAAAAATCTGTTCATAATTTACTAAACATTTTAAGCAAGTCAGCCGCTTGTTTACTAATTTAAAAAAAAAAACAGTATGATTATATGTTTTAGTAGTTTACTAATAGTAATAATAACCATCAATCATTTATTTTCATTTTATGTATGATATGTGCATGTTTCACAGCAGTAAAGTACAAATGTCCCCCCTCCCCCACCCAATGCAATACCCAATCATAATCAAAGAGTTAGCACTTATATTTCCTTACTTTTGCTGTAATAACTTCCAGTTTATTAATAAACGTTATTGATGTTTATGTTCATGTTGACTGTAGCAAAAGCATTTTTGTTTGTTTGTAAGAGCCTTTATTGTTATATTTTAATAGCACACTTATTTACCTTCAAACTGACACATAATTAGATACAATATGTTGCAAATTAATGAAACTTTAGTTTAATTTGTGTATACATCTCCTCGATAAAAACTGGGAATACAGAGCAGCCCCTCGACTTGCAGCAGAACGGGAATCACCGTTAACCTAGTTGGCCTGTAAATAGAGTCGGCCGTGACACACATATACCACACGTATACATGTCACACATACGCGCATACATACATATGATAACACTTTATTTAATTATAAGAGAGAGAGAGAGAGAGAGAGAGAGAGAGAGAGAGAGAGAGAGAGAGAGAGAGAGACTGAGCGAGGAGATGATGTATAGTTTGACATCATGGCATGAAAAATCATTTGTATCAGAATTAATAGAAGTTCACGAGACGGACGGTTGCGGATAGACATGACACCAACGCCACAAGGCATAAACTAAACGAAGAAAAAAGAAAGGACATAATGAGTTAAGTTTTCAGTGAATTTCATGTTTTGTGAGTACATATTGTGCAAGGAAAAGTATATTCATAGTTTACCTTGAGACAAACGCTGATTCCCGAACCACAGCCGAAAACCAAACAGGTGTAGACAAAACACAAATAGACTATAAAGAAAGTTCTCTCCTTTGTTGACAGAGGTATAGGGACAAGCCAGGATCGACAGGAAGTCGCTGTGTGGGTGTTGCCAGGTCCGAATCCAATTAATGGAAGTGAAGATATTGTGAAGGTGCAAGCAAAAACAAGAAATATCATCATCGAAACGTAATCTCTGCTCTGATGATTCGGCAAGCAGGAATGATCTTTCATTGATTTACTATTCTGTTCTGTTGTTTCTGTCACTGTGTTACAATACTGACTGTTTTTAGAATCGTCTTCCAAGCTGTGAAGTGTTGTTTCGGGGGTTAATTGGGAATATTTCACATTTTTTGTTCCATTAGTGGCCTCCAGACTTCCGTTGCTTGTTGGAGTTAAACATTTAGCAGCCAAACTTGGCCCACTTGGCGGGACATCGCGTGCAAGCTGGCAATCAGGCTCAGAGTTTACATTGTGGTTTGTGACAGCGGAGTCTGGACACTGTCTGATGGTGAGGGCGTCATCATCATCTGTCAAGTTAGAGATTTTGTCTTCGTTAAAAAAAGCTGTGCGTTTTCTGCTCGGGGAAGCATTTGAATAATGCTGTGAACTGTTTTCAGTTTCATTTTGGGATCCTTTAACTGTCGTTGCTTTAGTACATATCTTTGTAGCCTGTTGTGTTGTTACATATGTTCTGCTGTTATGATCCATTTTATCGTCACCTGTTTCTGTCCAGGCATTGATTTTGTTATCAGGCACGCTCGTGAACTGTTGTTCCTTGTCGATATTTTGACAGTCTTTTGTATTTTTGAACAATGAAGCAGTGTCATAGAGTACTTCTGCATTCAACACAGTCTGGTGTTGACTAGAATCAAGTGATGCCCCTAACCCTGCAGAGGCTGCAGGGCATGTAGTATAAATAGAAGCGGTGTTATTTCTGACACTCTGTCGACACTGTTGGCATTCTGTTGCCGATTTGATTTTGAGCAGATGCAACACGGCAATGTGGCAGTTGACACAGATGTAGGTCAACAACGCTAGCGATGAGAGGTTGCACCAAATCGATGTCACCTGGTATGTAGTGCATGTTGATGCTCCGCCGTACCAGCCGCCAGAAAAATATGAGGCTAGTCCCAGCGGGGTGGGTATAAATGCTGAAAGTTAAAAGTCAAATGATTATTTTTATAAGGACGGTACGAATATCAGCATTATTGAATTATGTAGTCAGACAAAGAATGAAATGGCTTGGCCATCTAGTAAGAATACAGATCAAACTGTAAATGAGACTTTTTCCAGCAGAACTTCTGGGATGAAGGCGAGGGGAAGACCAATAAAGAGATGGATACATGATGTAGCATACATGATGTAGCTTTAAACTGTAAACAAGTTTAACAAATCAACCACCCAAGCCACCAAGAAGCGCAATACGTATACAGAAAACAACGACACTGGGCTACAATCTGGTATCAGTTAGACGACAAAACCACGACACTGAACTACAGCCTGATATCAGTGAGAGGACAAAACCACGACACTGAGCTACATCCTGGTATCAGTGAGACAACAAAACCACGATACTGGGCTACAACTTGGTATTAGTGAGACAACAAAACCACGATACTTGGCCACAACATGGTACAAGTGAGACGTCAAAACCACGACACTGAGCTACAGCCTGGTATCAGTGAGAGGACAAAACCATAACACTGGGCTACAACATGGTATCAGTGAAACGATAAACCCACGACACTGGGCTACAATCGGTTTCAGTAAGACGAAAAAATCACGACACTGAGCTACAACACTATATCAGTGAGACGACAAAACCACTACACTGAGCTACAGCCTGGTATCAGTGAGACGACAAAACCACGACACTGAGCTACAACATGGTACAGGTGAGACAACAAAACCACGATACTGGACTACAACCTGGTATCAGTGAGACAACAAAACCACGATACAGGACTACAACCTGGTATCAGTGAGAAGAAGAGTGCTAACATATTTTTTAGAAGCTGTATGTTCAGATACTCTTCTCTGTCTAACTGCCACTACTATGCTTGCTGCTTGTCGGTCGTCCCCGTGGTCATACACCAGCATTCTCTCAGAGTCAACAATTCAATCAAGTTAGCCAGAGATGCAGAGACTGTCTTGCCCAGTGGTCTTCAACCTGGGCGGGGGCGGGGGGTGGGGCGCCTTATGGGAAGGTGTGAGAAAGCAAGGGGGCATCAAGTTCATTTGTATCTGTTCATACTAGAGACAACATTGCAGATATAGATCATTAATTTCAAGCGAACGAAAGAAGAAGAAGCAGAAGAAGATTTGTACCTGTAATAATCCGTTATGCTAACATATTTGTCAGTTTAATTGTAAATCAAATATTATATTTAAAAAAGTATTTATTAAACAAGAAGCCAAGGACGTCTTTGTTTTCATGAGCAGATTGTTCATCTACCGGCTGGTCGAACGGATAAGAGAGCACTGGGTTCTCACGGCCCAGCTCATAACTTAAGTCTGTGGGCTGTTTACTTGCGTCAGGGGCAAAAATAAAACCAGGACCTGTACTATCCGTAGCCACAGCACTAACCACTTGGCCCTAAATCCTCATCCTCGAAGATTCCCCTCCCCCCCTCATTTTCCCTTTCCACCCACTCTGCGCGCGCGCGCGCACACACACACACACACACACACACACACAATAAAGCATGATAAAAAATGTGTTTTTGATTTATAATTAAACACACGCGTTATCACATGAATGATATTTTGAACGGTAGAGGTAGAAACTACTCGTAAAAACGAAAACTTCCTGTGCTTCTTGTTTTATATATCATCATCACGAATTCTCTTTATGCCTAGTGGCACATGCGGCTTCAGAGAGGACTTTCCATGCCTTCCTGTCCTGTGCAATCTTCAGTGCAGTTTTCCATGTCAGAAATGCCGCATTCTGGTCCTCTTCATCGTTCGTCTCCATGTTGTTTTTGGGCTCCACTTTTCTCTCTTTCCCTCTGGTATCCATGTGAGAGCTGTTTTTGGCAGGCATATCGGGATTCATTCTCATAACGTGGCCAAACCATTTCCATCTTATCATACTGTCTACAGTTTCTTGGTTATAGTATAACAATATTTTATTTATACTTACACTGAAAAATAAAATATAACAGTAATACGGTTTACTACAAGCACAGGCGCACTTTTTTTTAACCATCACGTGACACTCCCTTGGAATCTCCTTGCTCTCCCTGGGGTAGGGGAGGCTTAACGCGCAAGCCCACACGGCACTTGCTCGCGTGCCGCACGATTTAATGAATCATCATGTTAATCTGTGTATTAAGTGACTTGTCATAAATTAAAAAAAAAAATTAACGTTTCAATTACGTAACATAAAATTGAAATTATATTTTCCCGCTCTATGTGAGTATCACAAGCACTAAATGGCTCTTAATAATAATAATAATAATAATAATAATAATAATAATAATAATAATAATAATAATAATAATAATAATAATAACACTTTTAAATCTGCTTTCCCCAATGTAGAAATTGCACCGATAGTGTACATTGTAACCATGTGTACAGGAGAACGTTCTTGTTCAAGGCTAAAATGTATGAAAAACATGATTCGTAGCACAGTGGGGCAGCATAATTTGAACTGGCTTTCACTCTTGTGCATGGATAATGACAGCCTCAAAACCACTGACTTCAAGCCAATAAAACATCAACTCCGTGAGAAGTAGTGCTGCAAAAGCTTGTAATAATTAGAAGTTTGTAATATTTTCATACTGTGTTATCAAATCTTTGTTAACATTTTAACACCAGTTTTTTTGGAACGTCAGTATGTTTACTATTTTCGACGATTGACATTTCATCCCTGTGGTTGTCGTAGGAGCCAAAGCACAATGGTTTCCACAGGGGCCCATACACCTGTTAAGACGGCCCTGTCTAGGGGGCGCCCCCCCCCCCCGGCTGAAGACCAATGTATTAGAGGTTAGTGAACGCAGTTAACAATTTCCTGATCCTGGAGTGCTAGGATTCGTTTCCCGTGAGGAAAGGCAACATAAATCGTTCTTGGGGTTTTCGAATAGTAGTATAAGTGTTGCACAGTGAAAGGGAGTTGGACCTCACCTTGTAATATTCCCTACGATAACACTGGTAGACTGTAGCCAACCTTTATTGTGGAGACGACACAGCATTTTTAGTGGGTTTTTTTTTTTAAAGGTATCGAAATTTGCCTTGCTGGCTCACCTTGCAGACTGATATTTTTTAAACTTCGGGTTGGCATGGTAAACCTTCAGGTAGCAAGCCGGAGCGGACGAACCGATCGATCGATTCTATTTTCCGTTTGGTTCGAACTTTAGACTACCATGTAACCTTTGAGGACTCCAGTGTAACATCTATACGGTTGAATAGGGTTTCCGAGATGTCTACATGTAGGATTCTAATATTTGAAATGTTAATCCTGCACACTGCAATCCTGGAGTGGACAAACTGCCTGGCCACCTTTCCGGTAGTCTTTTCTGTATGGTTATTCTATATCTACTTTTCCAGTAGACTTTTCTGTATATTTATTCTTTACCTAGTTTCGCAACAGTCATTTCTGTTTTTATTCTCTACCGACATTTCCAGTAGTCATTTATATGTGTTTATTTTATAACTTTCAAATTGTGTGTAGCAGCTGTAATTTAATGTGGTCCGGCTTTGTGCCTCATAGGTAAATGGATACTTTTAACCTTTAACAGTTTTCGGCAAACCATCGATCGATTTCAGCTACAAATGGTTAATTTAAAAAAAAAAAAAAAGCTCTCTCCTGTTGTTGGAACAGTTGTTCATTGCGGACTTCCCATGTAATATTTCTCAAATCGGTATCTATACTGTGGAGACATTGAGACTAAGAATGTGATGCAAAGTTTTGAAGGAACTTAGAGTGAAGCCTTAAAAGTCTGACAGAAATTACAATACCCATGTCATTTTCTTGTAACCTAGCAACTGTTGGTAAGGATGGTAATTTGTTAAGCACTCAAAACGGCGTCGTGACTTCTTCGACAGACTACTCATTCTCAACAGTCACGCCATTTTGAAACTTCACACTCCACTCATACGCTTGCTGCTCTGACAGACATTGCATCTAGCATAAGCCGTCCCAACGCGGGATGCAATTTGTCGTTATTTGAAGCCCCACCCTGGCTTTTGCCGGGTGCCTTGAATATAGCCGGGCCATAAATATGGCCTAACGGGTTCAAGGGGTTTATGGGACCTCTCCACTGGTGATCCTCATCCACATGGTGACACCTTGTGTCACCGGGTGTTTATCGCTTGTATGGTGGGGTGAATTAGGGAGATAGATAGATAGATAGATAGATAGATAGATAGATAGATAGATAGATAGATAGAGAGAGAGAGAGAGAGAGAGAGAGAGAGAGAGAGAGAGAGAGAGAGAGAGAGAGAGAGAGAGAGAGCATCTCTAGACTGGACCTTCATTCGCCTATAAATTTCTTTTTAGGTTTTATCCGTTCACTGATCAAAACACGGGTCGCAGATCTCTGATCTTTGATGCTTATTAAAAATAAAGCAGCCTTCTTTAAACTGTCATCCGGGGATAGTCAAGTTCACTTAAGACTCTTGACATCCTTAACAACAATATTGACAAGTTACAAGACAGTGGTCGGCTCTGTGGCTAAGTCGATGCGAACATTTCGCTTCGTAATGCCGGGATGCCAGGTTCGATCCCAGCTGCGGACAATGCGCCTTGCGTTGGTTTCGACAGTGGTATCAAGAAAGCCGACCGTCCAGAAAGCAATGGCAAACTACTGGACGTAAATTGCCTAGAGAAACCACACAACAGCCAGGGGCTGTTAGGGTTAGTTCTGCAACGTCCTGTAAAGGATACGCAACTAACTTTAAGAAGACAGTGGCAAGGTTATTGTAATTTCTATCAAACGTTTAAGGGTTTCCGTTGAAGCCCACTCAAATTTGCCATTAGCAATGTAAAGAGAAGTTACCAATACAGTTAGTAATGTTACAAGAAGTAAACTTATCGGATACCTTACACAACAGACACCTATGATATACGCATGTTAAGAGTAATTGTTGTGTGTCATACAATACACCCTTCCCCATTTTTCCCTCTCCTTTCCCGACCCTCTCACAC